AGAGCTCAGGCCAGCCAGGTGCCTGGGTGTCGCTGTCTTTTTCTAAGCCTCCTTAGAGATCACTCAACTCTTATGCTATTGATTTTTATCCATTTCTTTCCATTTTGCTCCACGGTCCCTTATAAGACTAACCACAACAGTTGGAGCTACTGTTCTGTAATTGAAGTCAGAGGAACAGATCAAACTCTGGGAAGGTGGAAGAACAGACAGCAGAAATGAAAGTGGTAAATCTCCAACGTTAAAATCTCCAGCCAATTAATCCCAGGGCATGTACTTGTTTTGGGAAAGTGAATCAAGTGTTGAATGATGACCTCCTGAGGTTTTAAAAGCCAATTTTGGGAAGAAGAGGAAAAGAAAAAGATTGCCACGTAGTGTCTAGGCTGCCATCCAAGACTTAACTCTAGGCTAGCCATTACATTGTCCCCGTTTCATCTACCATCAAAAAGACCTTGCACTTACAGGAGTTTTGCTTCTGAAGACTACAGCCTGGCAAAGAAAGGAACTGCACAGTACTGAAATAAGATAAATGCAGAATATACGTGAATGGGGGCAGGGCAGAACAGGGACCAGTGATCTGTTATTTCAGTCGTGCTTGCATCATGTATATTGTTTTGGCAAGTAAAGGTACAGATGCTGGACCCACCATAGCTGCCTCTGCTGTCACACGGGGCTGAAACAAGTGCAGAATCAAGTACATGTGCTCAGAGGGAAAAAAAAAACAAACAACAACATGCTGAGATAAGCTTTTATGGAAATAATATCATCTCCTTGATTTGTCTTGATACACTTTGAAAAGAAAACTGCTGTCAGGTTGTTGAGAATAAGCAGCTAGGACAAATGGCCAGTGCTTGTTTATTTTAAACAGATGCCCTCTACCATCATTTCAAAATGAGGAAGATAATCCTGTCTGTTCAGCCTACCGTGAACAGTGGTTTAGACACGCTGCTGTACTACAATGTTAAAGTAAGTTGCTATCACATATCTTTCTCAATTAACACCATTGCACAGATATCCCAAGGTAAGGCCACTTGGAAACACCTATTTAATGGATATATTCTTACGTGTACTTGCAACTAATCACATTTTCCACTAAGCAAAATCTTCACATGCACCAATCCTGTTTGGGGGAGTTCTGCTCCTAGAAACACTCAGCCAGGATGTCAACACACTCTACACCATGGATCCTCAGCCTCCCCCCAAATCAGATGTAACACAAGTCACATCAACTGCTGTTAGTGCAGGTGGGCTCAGAGGTGCCACGTGGTGCCCCAGCAAGATGCCTCACACAGTTGGTAAACCTGTCCCTTTCACTCATAAGTGTTCAGGCTGCCAAAATGGAGCTGGAATAAGTGAAATCCACACTAGAAATAAGCTGTGGGCAAAGTCTCTGCATCAGTCAAAGCACTTCTGGTACAGCCATGGCCAATCAGTAATCATGAAATTGTTGCCAATTCGCAGACTACTCCAAGCTCAATGGAGCCATTAACTAGCCCACAAATAGAGCATTATTTCTGGTGATCTTCATTAGGCACATCAGAAAACAGGAAAAATGTGGTACTTCAAAACAAAATGAGGCAAAGGGGATAGCTTGAGACCGGACCAACATCTTGCTAATCTGGATGATGTATTTGAGTTTTTTTTCCTAGTTTTGACAATGGATCCTACATGCTTGGAATAAGAATAGCTTTTATCTGAACACATAAGGAGAATAAGTTTTCTCAAGTTTAAGGTGCTGATTTTTCTAAAGCAGAAGACAAAAATACTCTTTAAAAAAAAAAGTCTCTTCACATGAACGTGAGCAACACGTGAAGTTAAGAGCGAAATAAGAGCATCGGGAAGAAAGTAAAGGAAATAACACACAGTTGGTTCAGCTGAAATAAAAGCCAGTTCAGTGGCTGAACTGCACTAACTCTTTCAAAGACTTGTACATGGTAAATGCAGGGCTTCATTAGCACTTATGCACCATCCAAATACATAAATAAGGTGTCCTCCCTCTCTTCCTTACTCTGGCTTGGTCCTAGATTAGGATGCTGAAGTTGTAAATTCCAGAGGAGAATGTTTTGGGTCTGTAAATAAACCCGTGGGTTTGGTGTGATAGTAACAGCAGAGCACTCACGACAACCAAACTTGGAGGCCACCTGGAAACTTGTCACAGCTGTTGTTTACTACAGATCTTTGCAGAAAAAATCAGCTCAATGGGGAGCAGGAGCTGAGGGTGTGAAGACGCAGAGGAAGAGTGCTGGAGGGGCAGAGGGCACTGAGGAGCAGGGGAACACTTCAGCTTTCAAAAATAACCATGTGGTTCATCTTCTTATTTCAATAATACGTCACTTTTATGTCCTTTTCAAGGTCTCATTTCTTTATGACAGCTCCCACATTTAGGGGTGAAGTCCTCTGGTCCCTCAGAAACCCGGCCCTGTGTCACCCATTTAGGCAATGCTTATATCCCCTTTGGGACCTGACATCATCCCACTCTCTTACCCTCAATTGTTCACCAGAAAATAAAGCAAATTCTTAACCAACTCTCCTAAAGTAAAAATCTAAATGATGCTTAAGCAACATTCCATTATCACATGAAAGAATGAGGTCAAGTCAAATCTTTCCGCATCCTTCCTCCCTTTCTGCTCGACCTCTGTCTTCTACAAAACTGTAATCATATCTTCATTCAGTTCCTAAATTAGCCAAGAACACAACTGGGATGCGGCTGGGTGGGAAAGGGAAGCCCTCTGGGTTTTCTCACCACTCGTACCAAACTAGTCAGAGCTGAACCACACAGGATTCTTACTAGAATTTCTAGGGAAGAACCGGTTAACATCATCCTTCTCCATTTTGCATTTACTAGTTATCACTTCATTTAGCTCTTAGTGCAACAAAAAGCAGCTGTCAGGCCAAGCACGCTCAGTCCAAGTGACCTTGTGTTCTTGTTCGTGTTTACCACATAATCAGCAGGGAATTCCATTTTCAAAATACAAGACTTCATAATCCATTAGCACTAGAGATTGGTCCAGGGCTCTGGATTTACTGGTCACATGTACCAAGGAATAAAAATATGAGCGTACAGCTAGATTAATCTCCAGACCTGTAAAGCATCCCAACCCACCGTGCATGCAGCAGTCTCATTCAAATTCACATATGAATATTAGCATCATTCTTAAAAGCTACTGCTAATACCATCCCCATAGTACATGAAGAAAAAAATTAAATGCTTTGCAACTCAGGAAGTACAGAGACACACAGTAACTAACTCCACTTTTCAAATTTTTCATTTGTTTCATAAATGGAACATAAGTACTGATGTTCTTATATCAACAACCCATATCTCCCCCAGCTATTTCTAAAAAGCAAGAATCACTTTCACTGCTCTTAATTTTAAATCAAAAGTCTTTAGTGAGTCCAAGCAGTTTAGCTCACCATCAAGTTCAATAAATCAGAAAAAAGAATCAATGGGAAGTATTTCAAAATGTAGCCTTGGTAACGCACAAAATGCTTCCACAGAAATTACGCTCATTTTCTTTATTTACTGCTTTAGAAATTGGAATATAACACGCAGGCAGAAGGACATTAGCATCACGACATTGCAGCTCCTGAGCCTAACATTGCACGTTCTCTCCTAGAAGGCACTTTCCGCAGTACGCTTTAAAAATCTGCAGCCTGGCAAGTGAGATGATTGAAAACTAATCATATTTCACGTTGACAAAATGGAAAATGGAAGTGTTCAATAGAAAAATAATAATCTATATTTATTCTTTATGTCCATGCACAGCACTTTAAACGTAGTTTGGTCCATGCTTTCCGCTGATAAAATGAGAATAAACTCAGTGGTGATATACGGCATCTGCCATTTGAAGAATCAACATTTGTCAGCGTTACCACACAATTTTAACCACGGTCCTACACAGTTCTCCTGCATGCAACACTTAGATTGAAAATGGCTATTACTCTACGTACCATTATGTGATATTTGTCGGCAAATACCTATTTTGAGAGGCAACATCATTATTCAATATTTATATAAGTCTACCAGGATAAACAACCTCTGATTCATGTTGAGATGCAAAACTTCACAATATTTTGCTGCTCATCTCAGTATGTTGTAACTAAGATGTTTACTAGTTCTTATCTCAACGTTATCTGAAAGGCACACCATTGTCTCCCCAGTTCAGCAAAGTTCAAGCAGAAAAACCTTTACTTTAGAATAGCTTCTCCTGGCAGCTGGGGAAAACCAAACAGAGCTGCAGTGAAAACGGGATCACTCTCCACACTTTGTACATCTTCCCAAAATTCCAAGGACAGTCTGATTTTGAGTAAAGATTCTAAACTTTTAAAGATCACACTCTCTAAATTTCTCAATTTTTCTCCTGGTCTTTTTCTGAGTAAAAAAGAGCATTTCTTTCTCAGCTTCACTACCTCTTGCTGCCTATCTCCACTTGAATCAAGGATGACCTTCCTAAAGTGGCAGTTGCCTGCTACAATGGCACCCAGCCATAAAATGCTGTTCAATTTCACAAGTTAAATAAGCATCTGACATAAAGTTCTGCTAAGGAAATAAAAATAAAAGCAGGGGTATTTTTATTCATAGGTTTCCAACCAATAAAGGCACATTCACCATAATGACATCGATGAAGACTATTTCTAAGGCAAGCACTCAATTCATGACTGCTTTTCAGGGTTTTTTCTTGCACAGTAAGCACCATAGGCTTGACCAAACCATCAGCTGTTCCAAAGCTGAGTTCAAGGATGAACTTGAAGTTCATGAACTTGGAAATCCATCCGCCCTAGTGAAAACTGAGTCTCCCCTAGAGCCATGAACACCACCATGTGAAGGCTCTCTCTGACCGCCCTAGTGAAAACTGAGTCTCCCCTAGAGCCATGAACACCACCATGTGAAGGCTCTCTCCGATAAAATAAAAAAAAAAATTAAAAAAAAAAAAAAACAAACGAAAAAAGAGAAAATAAATTCTACTCCATGTAATCCACCAGGTTAATATTTTGTTACTTACAAGGCACAGCATGGCGATAAAGGTTATCTCTAATAGTCTGCTGTAGATCGTGATCCGGTGATCCTTTCTGAAACCTCTGGTTGAGATAATGTCTCAGGTCTTTGTTCAGTCTGCTTCCTGCAAAGAAAAAAACAGCCATTTATTTATTTCTAAACGCACACAATTAACATTTCCAATTCAGGCAAATGTTAGACTTCCATTCAGAGTCCCCTAAATTATGGCATGCTGACTTTACGAGCGGAGGCTCATCTTCCTCTACAAATGGCTAATTACCAAAAATAACTCGCTGTAAACAAGAGGTCTCTCTTGTCTCATAATGCATCTTTCTTCCTGTGGTGTTAAACAGATCATCATTCCCTTTTATCACTTATTTGTCAGAGCAAATGGAGAAAGACAGATGATGTGAAAAAGAAGAAAAATAATAAAGGTAGAGTATTGCTTTTGCAACTCACTGGAGGGTGAGCTGGGCAGACAGACAGAAGGCAAAGGCTGCTCCCATCAGAGGTACTAATATAGCTGAACATGGCACAAAATCAAAGAAGGGCTATACTTTGCAGGGATACCTACCCTAGCACACAGCAGGAGTTAGAAAAGAATTGATTGGAGGAATTAAGAGCACCCAAAGTCCTTAAAAACAACACAGTAATATCTGGCCCTTTTCACTTAAATCTCTTTATTTTCCCATTCAGCTTTGAACACTTTCAAGTGTGCGAGAACAAAGATACAGAAGTTGAACACAAAACAAACTAATAAAAAAACACAAAGAAAAAGAAGAAAAAGAAACATAGTTGTTAATGAACATTGCTGGTTGCTGAACAGCAAACCCTTTCTTGTAGCAGAACACATGAACTGGAGTAACTTTATGAAGTCTTTTCCCAGAAATTAAATATTTCCAAGTCTGGAATAACATTGACATTAATTTGACTGAAGAGCAAAAACAACGCCACAAGAACATACAGAGAACATAGAAAGAAACTCTTCTGTTCTAAAAAGAAAAGGGAAAAAAACCCAACAAACAAATAAAGCAAAACACTGGAAAAGCTTCAGAGAACCATAGCCAAGATGATCAAAATCTGGAGCAGTTGCCATAGAAGGCCCAAGAGAGCGGGCTGGGGTGCTCCAGCCTGGTGTGGACACGGGATCTCCAACATGCCCAGAGGGTGGGTGGGAACTGGCTGCTCCCAGCCTCTCCCAACACAAGGACTAGGAGACACCAACCAAAGCTAATGGGAGCTTGGTTCAAAATCATGCAATAGTGGCAGTAGCTCCCACAGGCTATGGCAGAACTCCATGCTGGAGAGCACTGTGGGTGCAAGAAGCTTATTGAGGAGCTTCAAGAGGAGACTGGAAAAGTACTTGGAAGATGGACCCAGTGGAAGTTGCAAATGAGGGTGTAGGGAATCCCTTGAGCTGAAAATGAATTGCTGGTGTCTGGGAGATGTGTGAAAAGAATTGGGGGAATATCAAATATCTTGGTTTTTGCCTTTCTTTTAGTAGGCATCTTATTTATGGCCACAGCTGGAGCCAGAATGTTGGGCTACATGGACCTTGGGCTGAACCACCACAGCCACTTCTATGATCTTTTGTAATTTGCACTATGATTTTTCGGACTGTGACTCTGTAATGCAGAGGTCATCTCAATGCTTGTTAACACTGAACATCACAGTTGCAGATTCCTGGCTGGAGCCTCTTGGAATCACTGCAGAACAAATCAAGAATAATAATACTGCAATGGAGTGCAGCTGGAGTGTGGGTTTGGGAGGCAGCAGCAGTACCAGACAAATGAGAAAAGGAGTGTAAACTGTTAAATAACCACAGGCTGGAACAGCCTCACACAGTCCTGTTAGCTTAAAAACAAAACTAAACACACAAAAAACCTAGTCTGGAATGCAAAGTCAAATTCTAAAAAATAAATAGGTGTTTTGTATTTAGGTTTTCCAGACAGCTTTTTTTTTTTTTTTTTAAAGATTAAATTTCTTATTGAAGAAATGAAGGCTTAGGCAGTAGGTCCAGCTATTAAAAGAAGGACATTTTTTAAAGACCAAGATGCTCATTACAGAAATGGCTCAAACAACAAAATTGAAATTAAGGCAGATAAAACTGACTCATCAGACTTTCCCAAGTTATCCCAGCAACACCCCTCACTCCCAGAGCAGATTATCAACCTTTTTTCTAACAAATGGTCTCTGGTTACGACACTAAAAATGGTTTCCCACACAGGAGGTATTTGGAGGGCTTGGTAGATCTGTGGGCTACAGGTTTCCAATATCAGAGCTCACCTTCCAAACTCCAGATGTTTTATTTCATACCACAATGTTTTACTCCAGAGGGAGATGGGGCACTAAAAAGCATTTGCTGAAATAGTAAAGCATTTCTTTATCTTTTAACTAAACAGTCCATATTTTTCTTTGCACAAGAGATAGTAAGACAAGGTGGTTTCTCGTAGCAAAAAGAACAAGCACGGCAAAGAGTTTGGACATAATGCAAGGGCTTATTCCAGTGAAGAAATTAATGCACTGCATATATCATATAAGGTAGGCTTTCTAGTGAAATACGGCGTGATTCATGATTCAATGATTAACGTCACAATAATGTCTAGAGGTGAAAAAGCTGTGCTGAGCTAGGGCTTGTTTAACCACAGAAAAGTTGCAATTTACTGATGATATCTGCTTTTAGCTTCCCTCTGTGCCCATTCCATCTAGCATCTCAGTCTATTACAGCCCCCGCTGGAAAGTTTGGTTATTTGGTTTATGCAGTAGCTGGGATTTCCCAGCTGAGTCACTGATGCACTAGCCAAGGTGGCAGTCGCAAAAATAGGGGCTATAGCTATGCTTACACTCATACGATTGTCTCCTCAGGGAGCTCATAGTGATGCTTATTTCTATTACATTTATTTAAATGGGGAGGAAAAAAGAAGGAAAGAGACTAAAAAAAAAAACATCAAACAAAGCGATTCCTAAGCCACATTTTTGTTACTAAATTCCAGAAGATTCTTGATGGAAATAAAGACTTCTTGCAGCCCTGACAATCTCGGCTCAGCAGCTGCTGAGACCACAGCTGTGGGCAAGAACAGGCTCATGGAACTCACTCCAGAGCATGAAAGAAGAAAAGCTAACACAGAAACTAACACCACATAGAAAGCTGCCAAAAGTATCCACCTTGGAAAATGATGGATTCTTTACCATTTGAAATGTTTCAATCCACTCTGATTATCTTTTCCAAAAAATGGCCTCAGACTTAAGAGGGCATGTGCTTGGTATTGGCATTATTTAGCAGATTCTAGTGCTAGACACAAGTTTACAAATGCTGATAAATTCTTTTTGAGCCCAAATTGTATGCACCTGCAATTCCTGAGAATCTGAAAGATACATCAGTGACATTTCAGCAACTTCCTGTGTGCAAACTGTAGCACTAAAATTCATTCTTATCCTCGGGGGCAGCCCTATGCTCCCTCTAAGTCTCCCTCCCAGTCTCAACCTCTGATGGCTTCTGTCCATAGACCAGCCACCACCAGGCTGGGTTGAAGGGCAGGTGCCCAAAACCACCTGCTTTTATGCAAAAGTCCTTCCTTTGTAAAGTCTAATTCCATGTATAAGTTGTGCTCAAGAAGATACCTGGCTCCAGTTTCCTTAGAGATGAGCTGTGTTAACAAGAACTACACTACTGCCCTTCAAAACATTCTCAAGGAGATTGAATCTAATGCTTACTTTTTGGAGATTGTTTTCTTCACCACTAAAAGCATGTAAAGAGATCCTACAGTGGTAACAGGGGAGAAACAAAAGCTGCAAGCCAGAAACAGCAGTTTCCAAACAGGAGGACACAGGTCTTATGAGCCAGAGCTCAGCTCTTACTGGCCAGAGTAGGTTGGAAATGCATTTATCTGCACACAGAAAACTCACCGTGTTTTTTCTGTAATCAAAATTAGGTTGATCTATCTAGCTTTAGAAAATCAAATGTAAAAAAATGTAAAGAGAAATTCTTGTTTGCTAACCTAATCAAAATTCATATGTTTTAAGCTTTAGAAGTAAAGCATGTTCAAAGATCAGGTTTTGTTGTTGCAACAGTTTCCTTCTTTTTTTTTTCCCCTGCTGAATGAAACCAGTGTCTTTCTTTATATGAAGACAGAGGCAGAGAACCAACTTTCCACTGCTTTGCTCCCCATTGTACTACTCCAAATCTGAGATGTTTCCATTTTATTATCTGAATCCTTCTTCACCTTTGAATGAAACAAATGGCAACTCGCTAATGGCTGGTTTTCTGAATGATTCTTAATTATTATACTGCATTTTAGAATGTATCAATCGTCCTCCCAAACCATTACATCATAACAATCCCCAAGGGCAAACAAAACATCCCTCACAGAAAAAAAAAATATTACTGACATACTGTTTTCTGAGAAAAAGTAAACTGTGCTTGTCAATTTTGTGGAGATAAATATGCAACCTAGATTTTTTCATGATTAATGAAAAATATTGACTGTTTCTAAATGTACTTCTTTCAAACCCTCAAATCCTCTGTCACACATTTGTCCTCCAAGAGTTACCTAACACTAGAGTCACTAGAGAAACGATGCTTTGAATTATGCTCTGATGCTTATTGCTACAATTTCCAGTTTCTGGAGGGGAGGAAGCTGCATACCAGCTCCTGTAATGCTGTTGCTGCTGCATAAGAACATCCATCTCTTAAAAAAGCACTACCACCAGCAAGCAGCAGTGCAGACCTGGGGGGCTGAAAGCCCCTTGCCTTATTGACATACAGGCTTCCAATAAGGGAAGCAGACTTACATAAATGACCAAGCAAAATCTGATTTTTTTTTTCAAGGAAATCTGAGCATGAACATCCCAGGGCTGGCTGACAGCACCTTCCTGCCAGCTGGTAGGTAGTCTGTGCCAAAACTGTGCAATATGTATATTCTGAAGATATATTTTGAACTTGTGTTTTATGCATTTGGAAACTATCATTTCATAGTTTATGTTTATATTAATTACTGCAGCTGTTTTATCCCATTTATGTTTTGAGATGGTTATAGATAATCCTGATAAACAGCTATACTCTGACAGAGCCTGTAGATGCTTGTGTGAAGATGGGTCAGGGTCAGGCCCGGGACACAGTGGTCG